GGTATAGACAAGTGGTAGTTATAGACAGGTGGTAGATATAAGCATGTGATAGTTATAGGTAGGCGGTAGGTATAAGCATGTGGTAGTTATAGACAGGTGATTGATATGAGCAGGTGGTTAAAGTTATAGGTTACGAGGTGGCAGTTATAGACTAGTGGTAGTTATAAGCATGTGATAGTTATAGGTAGGTGGTAGATATAAGCATGTGGTAGTTATAGACAGGTGGTATATATATATATAGACAGGTGGTATAGACAGATGGTAGATATGAGCATGTGGTAGTTATAGGTTACAAGGTGGCAGTTATAGACAAGTGGTATATATAAGCATGTGATAGATTATACAGGGGTTAGCTATAGACAGTTGATAGATTATACAGGTGGTAGCTATAGACAGGTAATAGATTATACAGGTGGTAGTTATATACAGGTGATATAGACATTTGGCAGTTATAATCATGTGGTAGTTATAGAGAGGTGGTAGATATAAGCTTGTGGTAGTTATAGACAGGTGGTATAGACAGGTGGTAGATATAATCATGTGGTAGTTATAAGTTACCAGGTGGCAGTTATAGACAAGTGGTAGATATAAGCATGTGATAGTTATAGGTAGGTGGTAGGTATAAGCATGCGGTAGTTATAGACAGGTGATAGATATGAGCAGATGGTAGATATAGCAAGGTGGTAGCTATAAGACAAGTGGTAGATATAGCCAGGTGGTAGTTATAAGCATGTGGTAGATATAGCCAGGTGGTAGTTATAAGCATGTGGTAGTTGTAGACAGGTGATATACACGGATGCAAGTTATAGAGAGGTGGTAGATTTAGACAGGTGGAAATTATAGACAGTTGATATATATAGCTAGGTGGTAGTTATAAACATGTGGTAGTTATATAAGCATGTGATAAACACAGGTGATAGTTACAGACAGGTGGTAGATATATGACAAGTGGTAGATATAGCCAGGTGGTAGTTATAAGCATGTGGTAGTTAAAGCATGTGATAAACACAGGTGGTAGTTACAGACAGGTGGTAGATATATGACAAGTGGTAGATATAGCCAGGTGGTAGTTATTAACATGTGGTAGTTAAAGCATGTGATATACACAGGTGGTAGTTATAGCCGGGTGGTCTGTTGAGGATGAGTTTTGATATTATTGAGAAAAACAAATTATTCCAAAATGTCTCGGAATCAAGTGTCAAGCTAGGCCTGTATATAATTTTACAATAAAAAAATTGTCCCAGTTTTCTGAATTGGCTGATAGAATTGGTAACGATGATGGAACAAGTAAGAATAATGGTTGACGCCCACCACCAGGCAGTTTATGTAGAGTTATCAATACTACCAATATTATACCGCAGGGTCTGTAGAATTCCTCAACCCTTTATCAGGGAGAGCTATTTTGGTTCTTTCTTGACATGCTAGGCATACAACATTAAATAGGGATGGATCATAAATTCTATTTTTCAGTACATGATTCTGTATGGTAAACTTCCTACAAAATTGATGTAAGAAATGTCGATGATATGGAAGTTTTCATTTCCAGTTAGGCAAGTCATCAATTGTTTGTTTTAATACAAAACTGTATTGATGGTCTAGCTAGTATGACAGCAGACATTTACTAAAAGTTGTATTATTAAATGAGTTAATCTTGTGTCCAACTATTTTTGCTTTGATTAATTAAGATATAATTGAACTGGACATCTGCTTGATATTTAAGATGAAATAGGGTTAAAATTCATGATAAGTGTTATATAAAATTAGTTAACAACGGGTAACTTAGGATATGCTTACCAAAATATTTTTTTCAAAATAAGTTAAGCATATATTAGGTAACATTTGTTATTCTTACTAGAGGTCAAGAGTTCAAGGTTTCATGAGAACCCAAGTCAGTACCCTGTATTCATCCCTAGAAATATCAGACAGTAAGAAAACAGTAAAGGAATAACAAGCTATCAGACGTGTAGGATAGTTACCATATTCAATATTGAGGAGTCGGCAAATAGGATACTTACCATGTACAAGATTCATAATAAGGAATAAAGGAGTCGGCAGTGTAGATACACTAACCGGGTACATGGACATCATTCTTAGGACTCTACAAGTTGGCAGAGTGTGATTCATGATTTATGAGAGTTGTATATCTTGTGACTAGATTGCCCTTAAACACACCATTAAATCCTATTTTAGCCCATTAACCAAGTTATAAGTCTTGAAAGCAGCAGGATGTTGTCATTGTTTACCTTTCATTAATCCTACATACCAGGTATATACTATCTATGAAATTCCTATTTCCAAATTACTTTTATTTTTTGCTTACTCAGAAATATTAGCAGATTTTGTTATTGTGATTGCATGCCCTTCATCCATGTTTGCCTGTTATCTGTCGTGCATTGTCTGTCTATAAACAATTATATATCTTCGGTTGTGGGGTGGGAGCCTATCAGGTTACAAAGTAAGAAACTTTCAACTGACATCTTCTCTAAATCTTACAGGTTGATTGCCACCAACGTTTCATCAAATCATCCATAGGTAATGAGGATGAGAACTTGTATTCAAGAAGGAGTGACACTCTAGGGGTTGCATGAGGCCTAGGGTGGTGGTCATTTGGGGTCACAGATTGTCAAATGTTTCAAAAGACATCTCCTATGTAATTGACTGTTGGATTTGGCTCAACATTTCTGTCATCTGATATATAGTGTTTTTATGCTTGTGAAAATGGTTTACTTTTAAGTAAACTATGTAAAATACTTAAGCAATTTAAAACCAAGAAAAAAGTACATATTTCATGATCATATATATCTACAGTGATGAAATAGAGATGTTATGGGCATGAGAGTGGGGAGATTATTCTAAAGATAAGGTTCTGATGGGCAGTTAGGGAGGGGCCTTTAGGAACTCTAACTCAACTACTCATAACCTAGAACACTTCTGCTCTTCTGAACTTCTGCAGCTATAATCACAAGGGCCCCCCTTTGACTTTGATTGATAGCTTCATATTGATTGTAGCTGAACATTTCTGAGAATCACGCATTTATCTTGTATGCGGTCAGTTTGATTGGTGTCCACCTGCTTCATCAGTTCCTCACTTGAGGTCAGTGCTGCTGTTCCTCTAATTGATACTCATTGTCGGGAGTAGAAGTTACAGATCATCACCAATTCTAAGTATAATCTTTCACATCACACAAATTTAGATAGCAAAACAGTGAGAATACTTGCATATGAAATATACGACGGAATACAATGTCCTCACAAATAAAAGTCATTATGTAACATTTCTTTTTGTTATGGTTTTTCAGTAGACAGATTTCTGCTCACTCGAGAACAAACATTGTTGGGCAATAAACTGTTTGCAGGTTCTTCAATACAGAATTGGCAATGTGGTAGTGTTTGTTTACATGTTTTAAATTCCAAAAATAACATTTAATGTTTTATCTGTGCTTGCATTATCAGTCTACAATTTGGTCTTACGTACATATGTATGACTCAATTGAGATATATTTGGAACAGATATACTTTATTTGTGTCATACAGATATGTTGCTATGGAAACTTTTTAACTTTAAGATAACTGTTTGGATGGTTCATGGTATTAGGTCTGATAAAATTGAGAAAGGATCCTGTAGATTTTCAGTCTTTACAATTACTTTGCAAATATTCAAAATAACAAGTAATTGAAGAATGCTTTGGATAACCAGTGAAATCAGTATGTTGAGCTGTGATTTGTCAGTTTTTGCTGCCCGTGTCTGATTGAGTATATACAAACAAGACGTAAAGGGTATTTATATCTACATGGAGTCTTCATTAAAAGGCCCTAAGTGTCAGCCCTCCGTAGCTGATTCCCGTGTCTAAATCTGTTTTGTATCAAAAGAAACTGTTTTAATTAACCAAATGTGTAACATAAGTGCTCTAAAATGCAAGATCCGTTTCTTTTTTGAAGACGTTATATCATCATTAGGTACATATCTATATCTACTATCAGTAGTATTAAAACATGTCAAATCTGACTCTGGTCATTGTTATATAATTTTTACTAAAACTTTATATTTTAAGGTGAACCTGGTTATTGTGATATCAATACATATAGTACTAGAACCTGTCTAGGTTGACCCCCTGGTTGTAGTAATAATAATACTGGAACCTGCTTAAGGTGACCCCTGGTTGTAGTAATAATAATACTGGAACCTGCTTAAGGTGACCCCTGGTTGTAGTAATAATAATACTGGAACCTGCTTAAGGTGACCCCTGGTTGTAGTAATAATAATACTGGAACCTGCTTAAGGTGACCCCTGGTTGTAGTAATAATAATACTGGAACCTGCTTAAGGTGACCCCTGGTTGTAGTAATAATAATACTGGAACCTGCTTAAGGTGACCCCTGGTTGTAGTAATAATAATACTGGAACCTGCTTAAGGTGACCCCTGGTTGTAGTAATAATACTACTGGAACCTGCTTAAGGTGACCCCTGGTTGTAGTAATAATACTACTGGAACCTGCTTAAGGTGACCCCTGGTTGAATTAATAATAATACTGGAACCTGCTTAAGGTGACCCCTGGTTGTAGTAATAATAATACAAGAACCTTTCGAAGGTGACCTGGAGTTGTAGTAATATCAATAGTTGTAGGAACCTGTCTAAGATTACCCCTGTATATGTCAGAAGTTATGACAACCTGTCTAAAGTGACCCCTGGTTTAAGTAATATCAATAGTTGTAGGAACCTGATTTGGTTTGGAGATTCCATGGGTGGAGGTGATTCAGTGTTATATGGACCTCTTGTCTCTCTCTGTTTGCAGTGTTATCAAGTTAAAAGTCATACAATGAGATTTATAACAATAGGAGTAACAACCCTTCCGTTGCAGTCCATACAGATCAGAAAAAACTTTGGTGAATGTATACAGCATAAATAGATGACAAATACCTAGTATAAAATTTAAAAGTAAAATGTATATAGGAATATTACAGATTCTGTTCCTGACTTAAGTTTATATTTTCCATTACAGATATGCCATATCAGATGATGCGTATCGGTCAATGCGTGACCGAAATCTTGACCAGTGTATCATCATATCTGGGGAGAGTGGAGCTGGTAAAACTGGTAAGCTGTATTTATATACAAACAGTCAAAGTCATCAGTATGATTTAATCGAACATTATATACATATCTGCTTGGATTTTATTGTGCAAACAAAACAATATTATTGATGGAAGTGATTAAAAAAATACCCAGTTTTAAAGTTGATAAATATGCAAATAATAATGTTATATAATTAATATGTAAGGTGACTGCATTAGCTGTATTCATACAAATACTTTTCTTTAAACAAATATTAAAAAAACCCACTTGTTTGCTAGTCTTATTTAAAAAAAAAGAGTAATTCACAGTAAAAATATACAATTGGAATGTAGTAAATGATTGTATGTGTGTGTTTTTGCAGAGGCCAGCAAGATGATCATGCACTACATTGCTAAAGTGTCTGGGAAGGGTCGTGACATTGATCAGGTCAAGGAACAGCTGCTCCAGTCTAACCCAGTACTGGAGGGTAAGCAGTTACTTCCCTTCTTTTGTTATCTCCCTTTACATTCTATTTTAATTCCTCTTGGCATGATCTTTTACTCAATATTTAGATTTAAAACATACACATATTTCATGATAAATTATTATATGACTGTAGGTAGTATGATAAATATCATAATTAGTGTAATTCAATGTTATCATAATTAGCGTAATTCAATGTTATCATAATTAGTGTAATTCAATGTCTAACTGCATTACCACAAAGGCACAATTGGTATTACAATATATCTAACTTTGTCAAATTTATCAAAGGTATTTTTTGAATTCAACATAATTCAGAATGTCTGTTAATGCACCTTTTTGTATATCTCTGTTCTGTACAGTCTGACAAATGTTTGTGCATTACATTTCAAAATTTCCTATTCATGTTTTCAGCCTTTGGAAATGCCAAGACCAATAAGAATGATAATTCATCTCGATTTGTGAGTATTATTTTAATAGGATGTTAAATATGAAAGCCATTTCATTTCGTCAAAAGATGTTTTCAATGTTGTGCGACAGATCTATCTAATTCATGAAGGTAATGAAAGTTCTGAAATTGAATAAAGGCCTTTTTAAACAGACATATTGTGTCAAATTACAATTTATTTTGTTGTTGACAGGGGAAGTACATGGACATCGAGTTTAATTACAAGGGAGACCCTATTGGAGGCGTCATCACAAATTGTAAGATTACATCTGTGTATCAGTTTGTATCACCAAGTGGAGATAACTCTTCCTACAGGGCCTTAATCGCGGATATGTCTTCATTGTTTAACTAATTTTAGTGATAAAGTTAATTTATTTTCACATAACTTCGATAAACTTAAAACATCATAAGCTTTATACATGAAGTTTAATGAATTTGTGTAAAATTCTGTTTATTTTTTCGTGAAGTGTAAAAGTTCAGCATAAACAAATTAACAAGATATTTTCTTGCTTTGCTTTGCAGATCTTTTAGAAAAAGTGAGTATAACATGAAAGTTTTCATGGCTTCCTACTATCTGTTGCATGTACATTCTTTGTTTTTTGTTTGTATGAAATACTTGAATCACCTGTACATAACTTCTGATTTATTTCATGTAAACTATTAACCATTTTACAAAAACGTATATTTCGTATAAGTCTTATATCAAACGAATGATATTTTTCCAACGTTCATCTGGTCAGAATGGTTTGCTATACTCGTATTGAATAAGTAACATTTAAATATGTGTGCCTTGGAAATCAACCTTTATTACAATGGTATCCAATGTTTCCTAGTCACGGGTCTCTGGACAAAGTACTGGGGAAAGGAACTTCCACATATTTTACCAGCTACTGACTGGAGCAGATCCTGGCACCCTAGGTATGGTATAACACCATAGATGTGGTATTTAATTAGGCAGTCCAACATGTATAGTGGATAAACCTAACAATTGTGAACATATATAACAAATGTGTCATTTTATATGATATTTGACAGAATTATATGACATTACATAAAGCCATGGTTTCTGTCACACAAACCTGTAAGTACTTTGCCTTATTTCATAGCATTTAAGGTAAAAAATAATGAGATTATATGTATTGAAGTCTTCCTAGAGAGGAATAAATTGGTATAACTTGTCATCCAATTGCAGCAACAGTACCAAAATCCCTGATGAATTTGCTCATGAAGGATATGTATATATTGCTGAGTTTATTCATAATCTACATTTTCCTTTGCAGTTTGTACATATCATCATCACTTTAGTGTTTTACTGATTCAGACAGCTGAAATATACTAACAAATACAAACTGATAACATTTTTTTGTAACTTTCCATTTACGTCAGTACATTCCAGCTCCTCCTTACAACATATATTATTCTCTTACTATGATATTCCTCTGCTGTTTGAAAGAAAGCTGCCAATATTAGATCATTATTTTTATCTTCAGATGCAAAAATTATATGACTTCTCCTAGTAATAATGCTGCAGATACCAGCTACATAATCTTTTGACATTTAATGAAATTCAGGAAAAGCAATAACTGATCCATACAAGCATATAAATATTGTAGGCATCAAATACAAGTATAGGTTATATGTGTATGATTTGGATTTATTTTCAGCAAATTTAAAGCTGACGTCAGATCCCAATCAGTTTGCTATCCTCAACAAGAGTGGGTGTGTATCCGTGGATACTGTTGATGATAATGAAAACTATCACACTGTTATGGTGAGTTGTCCCCCCTGTTCGAAACGTTTCCTCATCAACCACATTGTCCCTTTTATCCCCCAAGTTTTGAAAGATTCTAACATACACAATGACATTGTCCCCATTGACCCCTGGCATCAACTCCAGATTCTATGTAGGCATTAGTCTGCAATGTTACAAAAGTCAACGTAACCTAAATCCTCCACTGAATACCACAGGGAGTTATGACATTAAGCATTACCAGGTATTGTAGTGGTGGTGTTGACTTTCTAGAGTCTGCAGATATATAATAGGACTCGGTGTAGAGTTGCACATACACGTATCACACTACGTTACATAGTAGTGTGAGGGTGGTAGAGTTTGGGACAATCACTTCTAGGTATATACCTGTACCAGTAATCTATTACAGGATAGATAATCCTGTAACTCAATCTGTTATAACATGGTATAAAAATGATACGGATTATCAACGACAAAGATGTATACGTGTAATATAATCTATTACAGCATGGTATGAAGGTGATAGGGTTCACGGAGGAGGAGATCGAAGCTGTGCACCAGCTCCTGGCCAGTGTACTGAAGCTTGGTAATGTAGCGTTCGTACACCGCAGCAACGTGGATGGAACTGACGGCTGTAATATAGAGGATGACAAAGGTTAGAGTTATCTACCTTGATAACATGTTGATGTTAAGAACTAACATTACATAAAACTGATAGAAATACCTATAATTTTGTGAAATGACACTGTTAACCTAGCTAAGTTATCAGATTTCTACAGATGTTGGCATGAAAATTGGTTTTAACAAAAATGAAATGAAATGTATTTCAAAATTCTAATCCTGTTTTTAGTTTGTCAAATGAATTATTAATTTAAAGAAATTTATTGTTTTAGAAATCCGAGATGTTTCTGAACTGCTCTCCTGTTCCTTGGAGAACCTTAATGAAAGTTTGACCCGCAAGTCAGTTGAGGTCAGAGGTGAAAAGGTCAAGTCTGACCTAAATTTAGCAGGGGTAAGTCAGAGGTCAAAATGTCAAACAGCTCTGAATAAAGTCTGAGTAAATGAAGGTTAAATCTTATACGGCTAGATTTAGATATTTCAAGGATAGGAAGATGGAAGATTTGTGTGGGGTTTTAGGTTTTAAGTAGCTAGGGACATACGACCAGTGTCATGATGGGGACACTCAGGTGTAAATGTCAGGTGTATTAGTGATGCTTACTCAAATAGATATTATCATTTTGATGCTTACTTCTTGATCTAGCCTACGTAATATTATAGACCCCTTGCTATATTATGTAAAAATGATATTGATGAACTTGATGTAATCCGTCGACCTGATACAAATTCCAGCTGTAATACATATATATGCTGAAAAACATTCTATTAATGCCAGCTAGCTATAGTGTACATGCAAACTAAATAGGTGCATTTGTATCACGCAATCACATTAAAGGATGTGTAGTATATTACATGTTTTGTTACAGGCTACCTACGCCCGAGACGCCCTTTGTAAGGCCATCTACAGTCGCATGTTCTCCTGGCTAGTACGCAGGATCAACGATAGTATCAGAGTAAGTTTGTCAGGTGCTAATCACGTTGTATTCGATATAAGACTTCGGTTCGCGGAAGTATATAAGCTTTGAAATTATAACAGTAGTTTGTTCAATGTTACAAAGTTTTACAACATGTGGAATAAACATCATTTATAGATTGAAATGGTTTTAGCTTGATTTTATCTCTAAATCTGCAGGTGAAATCCCAGTCGACCGGCAAATGTAAAGTGATGGGTGTGCTGGACATCTATGGATTTGAAGTGTTTCAGGTGGGTAATGTCATCTCCCTGTACTTTTTGCTATAAAATAATTCCACATATTCAATTCAGCAGAGAACATTTATGATCAAGTTCTGTTTCAGGTATCACTATTTACAAACCACTTATTCAAACATGCAAAAATTTGTTTTATTCTGCATAAAAGTTATCTTTATGTAAACTACCAGGTACATGAAATCAGATTGCATACCAGTATTCTTCTCGGTCTGAAAATTAAAAATAAAAACCTGTGTTTTGCTAATATTTAATTTGTTTAAATAGATTATTCTGAATCCTTCACATCACCATTTCATTTAAAAAAATCCTTTGAATACTTAAATGTTCTCATCAAATTGCCAAACATGTTGATTGTTTTTTTTTCCAATACTAGAAGTAAAACAGGTGCTTGATTGATTCAGTAAGATCCATGATGAGATCAGTGATGGTGCTTTACTGATGGATTTTCTGTATTGATGTTGATGTAGAATATTTCATCATTGAATTTCCAACACAAAATTGTTTGTTAGAATTTGTTTTGTTGAAAACAAATCTAAATATTAACATCATATAATTTGCATGATTAAATGCAAAATCTGCACAAGTATTTAAAGTCTTCAGTATTGATTGATTGGAATCGTGCACATACTGTGTAACCTTCCACATTCAGAGTGTTAAAGAGTACATTGTAGGGTTTAATGGGATGAGATGTGCGTGTGTTTTAGTGCTAAAGAGTACATTGTAGGGTTTAATTGGATGATATGTATGTGTATTTTAGTGCTAAAAAGTACATTGTAGGGTTTAATGGGATGAGATGTGTGTGTGTTTGAGTGTTAAAGAGTACATTGTAGGGTTTAATGGGATGAGATGTATGTGTGTTTTAGTGTTAAAGAGTTCATTGTAGGTTTTAATGGGATGAGATGTATGTGTGTTTAAGTGTTAAAGAGTACATTGTAGGGTTAACGTTTAATGGGATGAGATGTGTGTGTGCTTTAGTGTAAAAGAGTACATTGTAGGGTTTAATGGGATGAGATGTGTGTGTGTGTTTAGTGTTAAAGAGTACATTGTAGTGTTTATTGGGATGAGATGTATGTGTGTTTTAGTGTTAAAGAGTACATTGAAGGGTTTAATTGGATGATATGTATGTGTGTTTTAGTGTTAAAGAGTACATTGTAGGGTTTAATGGGATATGTATGTGTGTTTAAATGTTAAAGAGTACATTGTAGGGTTTAAACAGATGAGATGTATGTGTGTTTTAGTGTAAAAGAGTACATTGTAGGGTTTAATTGGATGATATGTATGTGTGTTTTAGTGTTAAAGAGTACATTGTAGGGTTTAATGGGATGAGATGTATGTGTGTTTTAGTGTTAAAGAGTACATTGTAGGGTTTAATGGGATGAGATGTATGTGTGTTTTAGTGTTAAAGAGTACATTGTAGGGTTTAATGGGATGAGATGTATGTGTGTTTTAGTGTTAAAGAGTACATTGTAGGGTTTAATGGGATGAGATGTATGTGTGTTTTAGTGTTAAAGAGTACATTGTAGGGTTTAATGGGATGAGATGTATGTGTGTTTTAGTGTTAAAGAGTACATTGTAGGGTTTAATGGGATGAGATGTATGTGTGTTTTAGTGTTAAAGAGTACATTGTAGGGTTTAATGGGATGAGATGTATGTGTGTTTTAGTGTTAAAGAGTACATTGTAGGGTTTAATGGGATGATATGTATGTGTGTTTAAATGTTAAGGAGTACATTGTAGGGTTTAAACGGATGAGATGTATGTGTGTTTTAGTGTTAAAGAGTACATTGTAGGGTTTAATCGGATGAGATGTATGTGTGTTTTAGTGTTAAAGAGTACATTGTAGGGTTTAATGGGATGATATGTATGTGTGTTTAAATGTTAAGNTCAAACTGATCAATGGCTATGTAAAACTGACCATTTATAATGTCTCACTGACAAGTTGTAATGTCATGCTGACAAACNATGGGATGATATGTATGTGTGTTTTAGTGTTAAAGAGTACATTGTAGGGTTTAATGGGATGAGATGTATGTGTGTTTAAGTGTGAAAGAGTATATTGTAGGGTTTAATGGAATAGTATGTGTGTTTTACAGGAAAACAGTTTTGAGCAGTTCATCATCAACTACTGTAATGAGAAGCTTCAGCAGATATTTATAGAGCTGACCCTGAAGGAGGAACAGGATGAGTACATCAAAGAGGTGACTATTGTCATACTGACCAATGGCTATGTAAAACTGACCATTTGTAATGTGNTACTGACCAGTAGTAATGTCATACTTACCAGTAGTAATGTCATACTGACCAGTAGTAATGTCATACTGACCAGTAGTAATGTCTCACTGACCAGTAGTGATGTCATACTGACCAGTAGTGATGTCATATGTACCAGTAGTAATGTCATACTGATCAATGGCTATGTAAAACTGACCATTTATAATGTCTCACTTACCAGTAGTGATGTCATACTGACCAGAAGTGATGTCATATGTACCAGTCGTGATGTCATACTGACCAGTAGTGATGTCATACTGATCAATGGCTATGTAAAGCTGACCATTTATAATGTCTCACTGACCAGTAGTGATATCATACTGACCAGTAGTGATGTCATACTGACGAGTAATGATGTCATAATATGTACCAGTAGTGATGTCATACTGACCAGTAGTGATGTCATACGTACCAGTAGTAATGTCATACCGATCAATGGCTATGTAAAACTGACCATTTATAATGTCTCACTGACCAGTAGTGATGTCATACTTACCAGTAGTAATGTCACACTGACCAGCAGTAATGTCATACTGACGAAATGTCACACTGACCAAAAGTAATGTCTCACTGACCAGTAGTAATGTCACACTGACTGATAGTAATGTCTCACTGACCAGTAGTAATGTCATACTTACCAGTAGTGATGTCATACTGATCAATGGCTATGTAAAACTGACCATTTATAATGTCTCACTGAGCAGTAGTGATGTCATACTTACCAGTAGTAATGTCTCACTGATCAGTAGTAATGTCACACTGACCAATAGTAATGTCTCACTGACCAGTGGTAATGTCATACTGACCAGTAGTGATGTCATACTGACGAGTAATGATGTCATACTGACCAGTAGTAATGTCATACTGAACAGTAGTAATGTCATACTGACCAGTAGTAATGTCTCACTGACCAGTAGTAATGTCATACTGACCAGTAGTAATGTCATACTTACCAGTAGTAATGTCAAACTTACCAGTAGTAATGTCAAACTGATCAATGGCTATGTAAAACTGACCATTTATAATGTCTCACTGACCAGTAGTGATGTCATACTTACCAGTAGTAATGTCACACTGATCAGCAGTAATGTCATACTGACGAAATGTCACACTGACCAAAAGTAATGTCTCACTGACCAGTAGTAATGTCACACTGACTGATAGTAATGTCTCACTGACCAGTAGTAATGTCATACTTACCAGTAGTGATGTCATACTGATCAATGGCTATGTAAAACTGACCATTTATAATGTCTCACTGAGCAGTAGTGATGTCATACTTACCAGTAGTAATGTCTCACTGATCAGTAGTAATGTCACACTGACCAATAGTAATGTCTCACTGACCAGTGGTAATGTCATACTGACCAGTAGTGATGTCATACTGACGAGTAATGATGTCATACTGACCAGTAGTAATGTCATACTGAACAGTAGTAATGTCATACTGACCAGTAGTAATGTCTCACTGACCAGTAGTAATGTCATACTGACCAGTAGTAATGTCATACTTACCAGTAGTAATGTCATACTTACCAGTAGTAATGTCAAACTGATCAATGGCTATGTAAAACTGACCATTTATAATGTCTCACTGACCAGTTGTAATGTCATGCTGACAAACAGTAATGTCACACTGACCAGAAGTGATGTCATATGTACCAGTAGTGATGTCATACTGACCAGTAGTGATGTCATACTGAACAGTAGTAATGTCATACTGACCAGTAATAATGTCATACTGACCAGAAATGTAACACTGAGTATTTGAATACTGACCAAAGGTGTTGATCATTTGACCATCTATTACTTAGTTGACGAGTACTTATTCATAAGGATGAGCATCAAAGAATTCATTTAATATATCCTGACATTTGTTTGACCTTCAGTACATTTTCATATTGTGGCAAGTTCTTTGCCTAGCTTCTGCATGATTAAACAGTAATCATTTATTGGGTCGTGATTTTTTTTTTGCTCAGTTTTACTGCCAAATTCAGGCTGTTTCCACAAGCAAAAANCTATAGACTCAGGTGACCGTTAAGGCCCATGGGCCTCTTGTTTCTCAAAATGACCAAAATTGAGGAATATAATTTATTCCCAAATTCAATACAAATAATGCTTTATTTTCATAATTCATAAAGGAACAGGCTGTTGTAAAATTTAGGTACCAGTAACAAAACCACTGGGGTATTATACAAAAGTCATATTGGAGTCTCTGGTTGATATGTTCAGTAAAGTATAATCATCATTTTTTCAGGGAATTGAATGGATCCATGTTGACTTCTTTAACAATGCTGTGATTTGTGAGCTGATAGAGAAGGTATAGTACAATAATATATATATGTGTGCCTGTTTGTGGAGTATAACTGATAGTTAAGTAATTATTATATTCCAAAGGAATGCTGCTATTGTTATACCTTTTCAGCCCTATAGAAGGTGTTACAGCTTATCTATAGTGTTCCTTACATCAGTAAACCTTTAATCAGAATCCAATTCCCTTCACACTTGATTGTTATGATGTCAAAGTTATCACCTTGACCTATGCATCTATGCATAGTGTCCTGTTTAAGTGAATAGGATAGTAATGATAAACATATCCAAAAGTAATGTCTCAGCTTAGGTGATAGTCTGAATTATTCTGACGTTTTATCGACTTTTATATCGGTCTGTTCGTCGATTAACGTCAGAACTCCGGCTCTCTATAATATGCGGGAAATAAGCGACCCTCGCCAGGGTCGCTCTTCAAACTGATATTTTAGAAACAAGTCGTCACTTTCACACACATGTCGCACATGGATCGAAAGATCTATTCTTTATGCACGACGATAGACCGATATAAAAAAAGTCGATAAAACGTCAGAATAATTCGGACTACTTAGGTGAATGAAATAGAAGTATTGATTGATATATCCAACATCAACTTTATAGTTTTGGTTTTAGTAGTTTGATTTAATCAGAATTTAATTTCCTATTTTAAGAACTTATATTTAATATTGAGGTAATAATGAGTTACGAAAAAGAAAGTTGTTTTCAATAAATACATTTTCATAAATATTCTTTATATATTCTTTTGAAAATGGCAATAATGTACCTTTACATAACAACGCTCGAAAAAATTACTGAAAAACAATTTTGACATCATTATTATCTATTGTGCCATGTAAAGCATCTTGTGTGCATCTTGACTAGTTAGTGTTTTGATGGAACCAGAAACTGTCTCTTGTGTCTAGTATTGTCAGCTACTGAGATTTCATGTTTACCGGAACGTTTATATCTAACATAATTATCTGCATGTCAAGTTTCTTTTATGTAAGCATGTCTTGTACTTCTTAAAGAATATTGTATTATTGAGTTTGAAAATTATATTTACTGATTCTGCATTTATGTTTTTACTATTTCCTAAAATTTATTTCCACAAGCAAAAACCATACTCCAGGAATTTGTTTCTAAAACAGAGATTGTATATTTTATGGAATTGTGAAATAATTGAAATGTTAACTTACATCTCCCGGATTCGTGTATATGTAACTCTATAAAAAGTATATCATGTAGTCGACAACATGTACCTGAAATAAACTTAGACCATTTAGACTGCCTAATATACTGTTAAAGATAAGACTGTGGCGTTTATAAAACTGAAGCATTGTGGTAAATAAAATTTATAAAATAGTAGACATTTCTCCAAACTGCTGAAACCCTCACAGTGCATTAAAATGTCATAGAGAAAACAGTGATTTGGGCATAAAATTCCATCACCAAAATAATGACACGAATGGTGTGGGTTGTGTGAGCAGTTTGGGGATAGGTCTGACACTAGCAGAACTGGAATATCTGTATGTATATAAGCATGGTGTATGATCCTGTGTGTGATCATCTATAGACATGCTCGCTCCTTCTTCCAGTCCGCAACTAAGGTCAATGTAAGTAACTGTACCAATCATATAGTCTTTCTCTAACATCCTTAACTTGGGTCTATTTTGTCTAATGGGTGTAAACAGGACACATATATCACCTAACATCCTAAGGTGTATAATTCTAACAGGTATGTAACAGGACACAAATATCACATAACATCCTTAGGTGTATGTAAACAGGACACAAATATCACATAACATCTTCAGGTGTATGTTTCTAACATCCTCAGGTGTATGTTTCTAACAGGTATATAATAGGACACAAATATTGTCTAACATCCTCAGGTATATGTTTCTAGCATCCTCAGGTGTATGTTTCTAACAGGTATACAATAGGACACAAATATCATCTAACATCCTCAGGTGTATGTTTCTAACAGGTATATACTAGGACACTAATATCATCTAACATCCTCAGGTGTATGTTTCTAACAGGTATATAATGGGACACGTATTTCACAACCTCCACTTCCCAAGGATTCAGGTGTCTTAACAAGGTTTACAGGATACACAGACACATGTATCTTACCCTTTACAGGTTCATTTACACTTCTCCCCTTTGTTAGATTTCATTGTCTTGATCACCGTAGGGATTCCCCAGTCATAACAATTACTTATATGTCATAACAAACAAAGTAAGAGAAAAAGAATCGCCCTTTTCCCCTACTCAACCCAACTTATTATGGGGTGAAAGACCTTAGACATGACCTTAGTATTCTGAAGTCTACCTACCCCAGGTATGTATTACAGCTGTACACAGAAACCTGTATCTTGACGGCTACCTCCTCATCATCCTGAGGCTGAGATCTAGGTATCCAACAGGACACTTGTTTATATAACCTCTAACATCAACAACACCACATGGTTGTTAACATCAAATGTCATTTTAAGGCAGATTATAGAGGGAACATATTTACAGATGGCTTGTTTACACATTGTTGTAAGTACAGTTTATAGTGAAGTAACTACAGATTAAAATCCAATGTTTCAATATTAATCAATACATGATTTAGAATAAATTCTCAAAAACAATTTGAAAATGAAAAAAAACAACCAAAATGTTATTTCCATGTCTGTCACAAAGTTTGAATACTTTAGTGACTGCTATTGTAGTGCTTTGTCAGTGTTTATTTACCCTGAAGTACATCGTAAACCTTAAGATCTATCATGTCGGTGTTTACACTGTTAAGATCTCCCATGCTAATTTGATGGAACATTAGATCAGTACTATAGTTGTTTCACTATTTACATGTGCAATCCTGTGATTCAGCTGTCTTCATCTCTTACCAGCTGGTATCTAGCATTAATTCTCTGGTGCAATTCTACCTGAGCTGTTTCTAAAAATCTGACACTTATCCTATAAAACGCAGGTACAATCTTTGTATCTTAATTGATGGCATCCAAATTCTGCAAACTAACAGTTTCACTTGGTGTTGGTAACAAAAACATGGGCTGGCATAAAAAGTTTTTACCAAATATTTGGTACTCTGAGCTGGCCTTTGGTTGTAAATATTAAATATTGCAGAGAATCTACAGCGCAGAAGTTTTTGCATCATAAGATGTGTGATGTAATGTTATATATGCATATTTCAATATGGATTTCAATATGTTCGCAAATTCATTGTAAGAAGTTAATGAAAAAGGAATAATTTGTTAGAGTTTGTTGCATCAATAAGAAAACTTGTACCAAATGGTTGTTTTATTTTGTGTGGTGAAAAGATGTGAAATTTTGAAAATGGCTTTGTCTCTTTATTTTCAAAGTGTACTGTAGTGGTACATGTTTGCTTTGAATGCTATGGAGTAAATTAATCTAACAATGCTTTCATTTATTAAGTTTGTAGAAATATATTGCAATAAATTTATTTTGATGCTCGAAATTAAAATTTATCAATAATATGAATGTAATCAACGGTTCTACTGCTGAACCAATACTGTAAATATAAAGAAAAGGTGGACAACCTAAGGCTGTATGTTTCCTAAGACAGTAACAATTGAATCTCATTTCTAAAAGAGTTCTACAATCATAAATTAATAACATATTTATAAAACCTTAGTTTATTAGTCAATAATTCATTTGATAGGTATTTGATAATACAATTTTGAAGGATTAGATACCTAAGATTTTACAAGGGAGACAACTTTTACACAAAGTTAAGGTGTATTATATCTAAAATAGTAAATTGTTATAATCTTCTAAATAATTAAAAATAAAATGGTTAACATAGTTCAATGAAGATTTGAAAAGTCAGATCATCATAAGAATTATTATTATATTATAAAGATAAATTTAATCTTAAGATAACACTAGTATCATTTAATCTTTTTAACCATTAATTCATTTATTATTTTTTACCTGATTTTTTATTCTGCTTTCATTGTTTTGAAAATAAATTCAATTTGGTCACAGGTTACGAATGCATCCTTGACCTGCTGTTTCCTTTTTTCAACTTCAATAGGTCTATTGACCTAAATTCATATTTAGTGAAATTCGCACACTTTCAGCACCATATTCATTTTCACTTTCCATTACCATTATTATAAACACATTATATATACTGCACAATACCATTGTATTATCACTTTTCATTATCATTACAACATTTAATGTACTAGACCTTCTTCACTATTACTTGTGTAATCACACAATGCAGATGTCGTTGTATCATCATATATTGCCCTAGTTCCCATGTACTTGTGTTTTATTTTGTTAGACCTCCGGTACTAAGAGTTACAGAATGGTAAGGACATGGTGTGAGGTTTACCTGTGAAGGGCTTTGATTTGGTTTCCTCTTTCACATGTTTTCTGTAGCATTAAAATAAATTCCTGCTTTAATTTGCTTTCAATATAAAAATATTTCATAACATTATGATAAGGGTATGTTATGATTTGTTCTTAACACAGCTTTTCTTTAAGTTTGGTATATCAAGAGGAGGTATAAGAAATAAACTGAATATAGATTTTATGCTTTGAATTATCTTGTTATGCTTTCATGTAATGTTATCAGTGTTAGCATATATTCCTTGCTGAAAGTCACACAGTTTCCTTTACAATAAATCTTTGTCTGCACCCTATGATCTATATTCTTGTGATGGAGTACTCTAATATTAACACCTTGTTTTTCTTAGTGCACTTCAGTAAACATTGTACTCGTGTAAAGAGTAATCTCGGGTGTACAGGATAGTGCACATGCACTTTGATTTTATCAAGGGTGGGGACAGTGGTGTGCAAGAGAGTATCTTAATATGAAACCCCATGCTATAGGTGTAGTTATTAATACCTGTGGTCATATTAAATATATATTTGTTAATATAGTGAAAACTGGTTACCAAGGCAACATCTCTAATCCATGAATGGGTTGTTGGTTACCAAGGCAACATCTCTAATCCATGAATGAGTTGTTAGTTACCAAGGCAACATATAAACAATTCATGAATGGGTTGTTGGTTACCAAGGCAACATATATAATCCATGAATGAGTTGTTAGTTACCAAGGCAACATATATACAATTCATGAATGGGTTGGTGGTTACCAAGGCAACATATCAGATTGTTAATTAATTATTGTACTACAGTACTGTATGTTGCTATTTGAATACTAGATAACAGCTCACTGCTGTACAAGAATAAACATTTGAAGGTACAGATAATATTAATGTGATATTGGTTATATCGAAGGCTCTACTATTGTAATGTTACACATTCAGTCTTGTTTGGTTTTCCACGTTTGCACATGTCTGCTGTGCTTTGCAGTGTATGATATTGAAGTCAGTATCATATGTGCCTTCTCACTTTTGTTCTTGTATTTTTTTATAATTTAAAACTTTCACATTTATTTGTATTAAGTATAAAGAAGATCAAGTGATAACTAAATCCTCCATTTGTTTTAAAAAAAAAAAGACTTTTTCTTCTTTGCATCAAAATTTTAAAATTTCATTGATCTAATTCAGAAACCTTTGTACTAAAATATTAGGTTCTAAGAGTTCACAAGGGTGCTCAAGTATTATGGCCTTAACGTTTATGGATGTCATTGTTATGATTTGAACTACTTAATAATGGTGTAAAAGTTTTGATATATATAATTGTTCAAAACTGGGTTAGCCAAAATCTCTTCCTGCTGACAGCAATAAGTTCTGCCTTGCTGCATTTTCCTCTGACCACTGCTGATGGAATCTCCTACCTCACAAAGGATATTGATGTTCCTTTGTTTTCGAAATTTGACCTCTCATGTGATATTTTCCAAGTTGAAAAAAATATCTAGATAATATAATTAAGTCTCGTAAAGTCTAGTTTCTTGACAGACAGCTAGTTTCTTAATGATGAGTTAATGCAAATATTTCAAGCAAATACTGAAAAAAAAAAAGGTTCTTGTGAACAAAAATTACATATTAATAAGAAATATTCAAACAGATGAACAAAATTACATAAAATGATATATTTGATGTATTCAAGCACATAAATAAAATTGCGTGTAAAATGCTTAAAACAAGATGAGAATAGAACAGTTTGTTTAATAAATTTTGAAATAATGTGATGAAACATAATTTTGAAATAATTTGATTTAATGAGTCATGTGGCTAAGTAAGCAGAGTATTAAACTCAGACTTATTAAGACCTTCTTGGTCTGGGTTTATTTGCATGTTTAATATTTTTATTCAAATTGACAAACATTTAATTGCTTTCTTTAGCCGAATGTTGGCATACTGGCTATGCTGGACGAGGAATGTCTCCGCCCTGGAAATGTCACAGACAAAACATTCCTGGAGAAACTGAACGTAGCGTGTGGAAACCATCCTCACTACGAAAGCAGAGGGTGTCGGAAAAATCAGTCCGACCGTACCTTGTCACATGATATCTTTCGTCTGAAGCATTATGCTGGAAATGTAAGTAAACAGTAAAGAATACCATGTTTATAATCATAATAGGTAAATTGATTACTTTTAATTGGTTTCATAAATGTTTAATTTTTCTAACATTACTGTGGATAAACATGTTTGATCTGGTATTTTGTCTTCAGAGTAAAATATAAACTAAAATAATATGGAAATATAAGTATGTTAGCAATATAGACATTAAAGTTGAATCTTTATGAATTAAAAGTTTAAACCTGTTTGTTTGGTAACAGGTGACATACAAAGTGGAGGGATTTATAGACAAGAACAACGACCTTCTTTTCCGTGACCTCTCTCAAGCCATGTTTGCCTGTGGTCATTCCCTTTTGAAGGATCTTTTTCCTGAAGGTATAGTTCTACTTGCTGTAATAAATGTCTTTTAAATGTGTTATTTTGATGATGTGTACAGTCATGTCTATGTTGAAGATTTGAATGTGACATTGAGCTAATGTGTTTAACTGATGTAAATTATCTGTTCAGTGTGGTTAACTTTTATCATTGAGTCATTTACTTACATTCAACAGCTAATTGATCGAGGTTTGGTTTGGTTTGGTTTAGTATTGTTTAACGTCCTATCAACAGCTATGGTAATCTAAGGACGGCCTCCCCTGTGTGCAAGATGCATGTGTGTAGTGTATGTTTGTGTGTTTTGGGAGGCTGCGATATGTTCGTGTTTGTCACCTTGTGATAGCGCGAACTGATGCCGACTTTATAGTGCTTACCTCACTGAAATATACTGCCAAAGACTCCCAGCAGGACAGCCCACCCGGTCACATTATACTGACAACGGGTGAACCAGTCGACCCATTCCTAAATTGCTGAGCGTTAAGCAGGAGTAGAAACTAACAATTTTACAGACTCTGGAATGTCTCGGCCAGGGGACAGAACCTAACGCCTTTCTCACAGGGGCGAACGCTCAACTAAAGGCCAAAAGTGAGGCATTGAGAAGGGAGACATTAGGAAGAAGAAAGTTGTTTAGAAAGAATAGATAAGATCCCAAATTAAGTCGCCTATTACGATCATGCAATGGGGGCAGCAGGTACAATTCTTACGCCCTACCTGCAGGGACAATTGATCTAGGATTATGAGAATAACGGGATATCCGTGATCATTTTTTAGGTGATATGATATGATAATCTGAATAGCTAAAATTAAATTATTGTTTAATAATCTTATACATGTAGTGATTAAAAGGAACCAATAGACCGATCACTGACCAGGCAATAAACAGCTGTCAGCCCTGTTTATTATATACACAATGTTATTGCTTTGTTACAGGGGACCCAGCCCTGAAGTCTCTCAAAAGACCAGTTACAACTGGATCACAGTTCAAGGTGACTTTCGCAAAAATAAGATTTAGTTGGGAGCAAGTGTTTGACATAAATATTGTAATGTGATCTATTTTTCGAAAAATATTTGTAAGCCAACAGATTGTTAGATCAGTAAATACTATGTGTATTACAATTTGATTTTGAAAAAAAAAAGGTAGTCAGTGAGCCTTAATTTCTGTTCATCTCACCCTTCATAGGTTCTCTCTCACATACAAAGAATTTTAATACCTAACTTTATTACTTCATTGACTGCAGGTGTCTGTGACAGAACTTATGAAAAACCTTCTATCCAAGAATCCAAATTATGTCCGATGTATGAAGGTAAGTTGGAGTCAGGTCCAGATTAAGAATTTGCTTGCAATCTTTTAATAGATATAAAAGAATTATCAGTGAAAAATGCTGACATAGAAAGTTTTGCCATTTAACCATAGTATATACACAGTTGTGATGTCATTGTTTATAAAAGGGTTGAGCAAGAAGGATCGCAATTAAGAAGTATTGATCTCTCGTTATTTCTGATAACAAAAGAAGAATCCTTTAAATCTACAGAATCAGTCGTGTATTATGTTAGGCACTATATATTATCTCAGTTTTTTTAACAAAATTGTAATCCTTTTTCATTTTCAGCCAAATGACCAGAAAAAACCTGGTGTGTTCACATTGGACATTGTGCGGCACCAGGTCCGATACCTTGGGTAAGTGGTTATGGCTGTGGTGGACAGATCATTAAAACTTGTCAGGCAAGCAACATTTTGGAATCATGCATTTTCAACTCACCTGGCATGAAGTACCAATCAGGTTTCCCATGGTGTTGAGTTCTGCATATATCTGTACAAATATTTGCAGTCACAAGTTGAATTAGTCGAAATTATTCTGACGTTTTATCGACTTTTGTTTATATCGGTCTTTCGACGTTAATCGACGACAGACCGATATAAAAAAAAAGACGATTAAACGTCAGAATAATTCGGACTAAGGTTGAATGTATTGGAACGTTATTTTGGCCAGAAATCTGACTTCATCACAGCCTTTGTTTGATTATGGGATGTTAGCAGTCATATTAGATTCTGCCAACAACATAACACAACAGACGAGTAGTACATGGTCCATGTGCGTGTTGTTAGTCCCCTATCACTACTACTTGGTTTGAACTCTGTACTTTAGTTTGTCACTTTGCCTAGAGAATATCTCATACTTTCCTGTGTCACCTTACAATTCACAAATTTTGTATGTAATTCCCTTTTGGGATGACGAAATATTACTAAAAATGTTATCTGCAATTGCAAAACTTTATTTGTGAGGACTTCTTGGGATGGGGGAGGTCTGCAATTGCAGATGACATTTTATGCATATACTGAATTCAGGTTCATGCCCCGCTGTGTAAAGAGTTATCGCCCTTTGTTACTTTTTGAGTTTTTCTGGAGTTTAAGAGTCTGTCTTGTTGGACTATCTTGTACTTGAGGTCACAACAATAATTAATTTCTGTCTAACAGATTGATGGAGAATGTACGAGTGAGAAGGGCTGGCTATGCCTACAGACAGACCTATTCACAATTCCTGTTCCGCTACAAGATGTTAGCCAATGAGACATGGCCTCATTGGACAGGTGACCCCAAGGAGGGTGTGAGAATTATCTGTTTAGCCCAGGAAATTGATGCAGAGGAGTATGCCTTTGGAAAATCCAAGATCTTTATCAGGAACCCACGCATGGTAAGACTGCAGCTGACATATCTAGTGAAATGGTTATATTGTAGATTTCTCTTTAAGCATATATTACCTATTGATGATAAAAAACCTTTTTGTCTGAGCTACTAGTCACTGCTCTAACAAATCTTACTTGAGGTGTCTAAATTCAGAATTTCAGCGTACCACCCTGAGACTGATAATAATCAGCAGGTATTTGATTATTCGTAGTTATTTTACATGGAGGTAACACTGGAGATGGGACATTGTTATAATGAGGTATTTGTTTTTAGTTATTTGACATGGAGGAGAGGAGGCGGGACCGTATGCACTACCTAGCTGTGATGATACAGAAGACATACAAAGGCTGGAAGCAGCAGAAACTGTACCAGCTGATGCGAACTAGTCAGATCATCATCTCTGCACGCTTCAGGGGATTCTGGGTAAGTCATAACTGCAAATCACTTTTTGCCTGAAATAGATAATAGTGGGGTTGAACAGCCCTACTGTTATTGAAATGAGTAAGATAGTAGGGAGGGGAGAAACCCATTTTTTTCAGTAGATAACATGTCATACTGCCTGATCTGTACTATGAGATGCCATACTTTTGGTACAGTTATCTGTTTACTAATTAAAAGAACATGTAATAAATGTATGTGTAGATTGCTTGTGAAACTCTAATGTGGTTTGTTACAGGCCCAGAAACAGTACCAGAAGACGAGGAATGCGACTTTGGTGTTACAGTGCTTTGTGCGCGGCTGGAATGTAAGACTGCTTTGTTTGTTTGTTTGTTTGTTTGATTTTGTTTAACGTCCTATTAACAGCTAAGGTCATTTAAGGACGGTGTAAGACTGCACCATCCTAGTATTTCTGTATTGTGTAGTAAGAGTATAATAGTTAAAGATGTCTGTCTGGATGTTTGGGCTGTGTCCATCATTCAGATGATTGTTTCTGTTTTGCTAAATTGAATTCTAGAATCTCTTATCTTTCTGTGGTACATTGTATGTAAAATATAACCTATAAATTGGGGTGAAATATAATCATGATATTGACTTTCACTGTCAATAAATCACCTAGTTGGAGTAGGCTCTAAAATCTGTAACAGACCTTTATTTTATGTTGATATTTCATTGTCCATGTATGTAATGTAGAAGGTAAGGTTGTTGGAAGGGAGGTAACTGTTGTTCTATTTGTAACAGGCACGTGTGCTGCTGAGGAAACTGAAGAGGGAGAAACTGGAGTTTTGGGCAGTGGCCGTTATCAGGAAATACTTTTTGGGCTGGAAGGTTCGCAAAGAGTACAGGAAGAAGTTCCGGGCCCAGGCCGGACCAAAGATTGTCAAGTTCCTCCAGGTGGCATTGGTATGTTGAGTTTTTGCCATTTCAGGAATACTTTGTTTATTAGATTATGATTATATAATTCCAAAAAGAATCAATAACCATAGTTTGACTCACAGTGGGTTTTCCACCATAAGAATCTGTTTTATGCTGAATACTTCTGTTCAATAAGAAAATATTTTTATTATGAAACATGAATAATATAGTCCAGTACTGCTGTATGTCTGCTGGCTTTTTTAATCTCTGACATGGGAGTTCTACTGTTGTGCAGTCTTGGACACTCTGTGACTTTTAATGTTAGTTGACCCTGTATTATACTTTATATAAAGCCTTTAATATATGGAATATTAAAGGTAGTGTGACCTCAACAATTTGTGATCTCTGAAATAGTTTGACCTCATAATACATGTCTTATATAAACACTGTTTTCTCCAGCATTTCTGCTTCTGTTTATGTGATTGTACGAATGCCTCATTTAAAATCTCCTTTGGAAATTTCATCAGTAATGCAGTAAGTCTTTCTTTGAGATATATACTTGACTTGTAAATGGAAGGTACTCTATCAAAAGTGTTCCCTGGTGAATTTTCACTTATTCAACTGTCTGATCCTGTTTGCAGAAGAAGCGGTTCTTACTGAATATTAAGAAGAGCCTCCCCTCCTTATCTCCCACCGACCCCTACTGGCCAAAGTGTTCACCACGCTTCAAGACTACATCAGATCAACTCCAGGTCATATTCCACAGATGGCGGGTAAGTACACAGCAAAGCTATCATTGATTTAAACAAATCATAATTACAAATCAAAACTGGGTTTATGCAACAAATGTTATCCTTACATTTTTGTGTTACATGTATATAAATTTACACTGGACTGTTTGACCTGTGTTTCAGTGTGTAAAGTACAGAGAGAAATTTGACACAGCAGAGAGGTACAAAATGAAAGAGAAAGTCACTGCCAGTGATATATTTAAGGATAAGAAGGAGGGATATCTACAAACGTAAGAACCAGATTCAGATGGGCCAAGGTGTACATAGGTTGACTAACTTATGGAGTTATTAATGCAAATTTGAAAATGCAATTTCTGAGAAATCCTTAGAAACCCAGCAGATAACAGCAACATCTAACAAGGGTTCAAAGATTTCACAAGTATTCAGCTTCAAAATCATATTTTAATAACTATACAATCCAGAATTTCAGTATTCTGTTTCTCATATAATGAATGTTTATTTTATACAATTCTATCTCTGTGACTATAAATGGGCTTCACAATGGTAAATTAGCTAAAATATAGATTCTGTTAACACAAGTGATATCAGATACATGTCTAATGTGCCTTTTGTTTGTTCACCAAGTCTGTACCAATTTTAGTCGTTTTTATATACTTTTAATTGTGTTTTCAGTGTACCTTTGCGTTTTGCTGGAGATTATCAAAATCTACGACAAAATCCCAAGTGGAAGAAAATGAATGAAGTGAACAACGACAACCATGTTGTATTTGCAGACGCTGTCAGAAAGGTCAACAGGGCCAATGGAAAGGTAGTGTTTAAAAGCTGCTGATATATACAAATACATGTGGGAGATAAAGCTTGTTTTGTTTTATCATTTTCAAGATTTAAGTGATTAAATCAAGGTGATTGGTCCAATTTTTCTTATTTGAAGTGATGTTTCCTTATTAGCTGAAATTGTAAGTCATTGGTTGAATAATGCCATTGATTCTACACGTCTCACTCTTTTTGGTGATTACAAGAGAATACCTCAACCGATTTTCACAATTTTCTTACAGTGTTATCCTGGAAATACACATCAGTAAGGTTTTTTCTCCTCTTTTTTTTTAACAGATGGTTGACCAGCTCCTAGTGGTCAGCACACAGGCCATACTAGTGATAGAACAACACACCATGCAGGTCAAGTACCGCATCCCTGTTGCTGAGATCAAAAGGATATCACTGAGTCCCTTCAGGGACACACTAGTGGTCCTACACCTTCAAAAGGTAAGAATGTTTAATCGGGGTGAGAGGTCAAGGGCTGATCATAATTCACAACGTAAGGACAAGGGGTGATTAAGTGTCAATTGGCAGAGGTAATCAGGATAGGTGTCGGGAGTCAAAGGATGATCAGAGGTCGAGACCTAGGCAAAGGGTGGTTAAAGGTTAGGAGTTCAGAGGTGATTAGAGGTCAATAGACAAGGGGTGATAAAGTTTCAGGGTCTTGGTGTGATCAGAGGTCAGGAGCCAAGGGTGACTAGAGGTCAAGAGTTAAGGGGTCATCAGATGTCAGGATGTCAGGGGTAAGAAATTAAGTTAGGTTGATCAAGGGTAAATAATTAAGTCAGGGTGATCAGGGATCAGGAGTAAGGGTGATCAGGGATCATGTGTAAGGGTGATCAGGGGTCAGGAGTCAGGGTGATCAGGGATCAGGAGTAAGGGTGATCAGGGATCAGGAGTCAGGATTATCAGGGGTAAGAAATTAAGTAAGGGTGATCAAGGGTAAATAATTAAGTCATGGTGATCAGGGGTAAGAAATTAAGTCAGGGGGATCAGGGGTAAATAATTAAGTCGGAGTGATCAGGGGTAAATAATAAAGTCATGATGATCAGGGGTAAGAAATTAAGTCAGGGTGATCAAGGGTAAATAATTAAGTCAGAGTGATCAGGGGTAACTTATTAAGTCAGGGTGATCAGGGATCAGGAGTCAGGATGATCAGGGGTAAGAAATTAAGTCAGGGTGATCGGAGGTCAGGAGTCAGGGTGATCAGAGGTCAGGAGTCAGGGTGATCAGAGGTCAAGAGACAGGGTGATCAGAGGTCATGAGTCAGGGTGATCAGGAGTAAGAAATTAAGTCAGGGTGATTGGAGGTCAGGAGTCCGGGTGATCTGGGATCAGGAGTCGGGGTGATCAGGGATCAGGAGTAAGGTTGATCAGGGATCATGTGTAAGGGTGATCAGAGGTCAGGAGTCGGGGTGATCTGGGATCAGGAGTAAGGGTGATCAGAGGTCAGGAGTCAGGGTGATCAGGGATCATGTGTTAAGGTGATCAGAGGTCAGGAGTAAGGGTGGTCAGGAGTCAGGGTGATCAGGGATCATGTGTCGGGGTGATCAGAGGTCAGGAGTCAGGGTGATCAGGGGTCAGGAGTCAGGGTGATCAGAGGGCAGGAGTCAGGGTGATCAGCGATCAGGGATCAGGAGTAAGGGTGGTCAGGAGTGAAGGTGATCAGAGGTCAGGAGTCATTTGAGTCAGGAATTCAGGTGTGATCAGAGATCAAATGCAAGAGGTGATAAAGGGTGGGGATTTGAGCATTAATAAAGGTCAGGAGTCAAGGGGTGATCAAAGGGCATCAGGAGATGACCAGGAGTCAGGTTTAGAGGGGCGATCAGAATTCAAAATTCAAGGGGTGATCAGAAGTGTAGGTCAAGAAAAAAAAGCAGTGATTATGTAGGAGTCCAGGCTGACCATAATCAATGGTTAGAGGTGATCAGGTCTCAAAAGCAAGAGTAGGTGATGAAGGGTCAAAGGACAGAGTTCATCAAAGTTGAAGTGAAAAGAGTAAGCAAGGATCAGGAGTCTGGTAAATGATTCATTATTCAGGCTCATCTTCAGATACCAGGAGTTGCTAGAATTAGTCTGGACAGGAATCAAATGTAATGTAGTAAGGGAAAAAGGAGACCACTAAATGTACAAATTATTGACAAGTGAAATATTGTATACCAGGTAGTCAAAAACAGTAGATGCTTTAATTATTGAAGTACTAAGTTACTAGTTCCTAAAGATCTAAGTTCATACCAATCTGTTGCTCTACCATAGCATATCGTATATAGATATGCCATGTTCATAGGGTTTTGATATAATTGTCAAAGTAAGGATAGGAAAAGGAATTTCAGGACAGATTCTGTTACAAAATACTTCAATCGGACTAAATTAAAATACCTTTGTAAATTTCTTTGTAGAATAAATGAAAGTTTTTCAAACTACATGGCATGTCTATTGTAGTACCAAATTTATAGTTGTCTGTCCTGCTGTGGTTTATCAGTGTATTACATGATATAAAACAAATCAAATTTTACATGTTCCTTTAAGTTTCCTAGCAGAAAGCTCTGGTTGTCTTCCCTCGTTGGAATTTAAACGGTCAAGGCAGCAACTTTACAAAGAGACTTTACATTATTCCTGACATGTCTTAGCTGTATATCCCTTTTTTGTATAAGAACAAATATATTTAAAATCCCTGTTATCCCTTTAAGTGTCACAGCTTTCGTTTTCTGCCCTTGTTTATTTACCTGATCAGTATAAGCTAGATGTGACATATCCCTTGTATTGTGGTAACTTATAGTTGTCTCCCTTGTTTGATTACGATGCATTAGACAGAAGAGGAAGAGCAACCATCCGACCCTGCAGTGAGTTGTGTGTCATTGTAATGCCTGGTTTACTTTGAGCTTCACAATGTCCTTAGTTGTTTCCTTTGCACAACTTTCCATATAATTATTTTATCTTTTGTTAAAAATATTTTATTTCAGGATGTTTTTTTCAATTTCAAACAAGTTAATTTGGAATTAAAAGTTAAAAGTCAGACATTTTACTTATTTCAGTTGAAATATTTTATCAATTACCATATACACTTATGCCTGCATTATGAATTTTACCATAGACAATGGTTTATTTCTGTTTTAATTAATGTTCACATGTCTTAGAAATTTCACACATAATTAATCCTTGATTTTCATTAAATTGGAGTGCTTTTCAGAATTAAAGAAACCCTCTGACCAAAGACATACCATTGTTTTTCTGGTGAACTATAATCATAAATTTAAACAGAGGGAAATACGTTGTAATGAATTTCAATTTTGTAAATTTCATGATAAGTTTGATGTTACTGATCATACAATTTTATAAAATTATCTGCTGTGTATTGTTTACACAAGAAATAATGATATGTGTATCAAGGTAATTGTAATCAACTTAACCTGAATGGGTTCCATTTGAAACAGTATATAGAAGACCATTATTGATAAAAAAAAATGTTACATTTGAAAACTTGTTTAATATTGTTTTTGTATTTTTCTAGCATGAGAATGGTGATAAGCTATCAAAGAAGGGAGATTTCCTGTTTTGCTGTGATCATGCCATGGAGGCTGTGGCAAAAACTTACCTAGTGATACAGAACAGTACATCACAGGCACCTAGCGTTCAGATATCTAAACAGTAAGTATGAGAAACAAAATCTGTATCTAGTGATACAGAACAGTACATCACAGGCACCTATAGCTAGCGTTCAGATATCTAAACAGTAAGTATGAAAAACAGAATCTGTAACTAGTGATACAGAACAGTTCATCACAGGCACCTAGTGTTCAGATATCTAAACAGTATAAGTATAAGAAACAGAATCTATAACTAGTGATACAGACAGTACCTCACAGGCACCTATAGCTAGCGTTCAGATACCTAAATAGTAAGTATGAGAAACAGAATCTGTAACTAGTGATACAGAACAGTTCATCACAGGCACCTAGCGTTCAGATATCTAAACAGTAAGTATGAAAAACAGAATCTGTAACTAGTGATACAGAACAGTTCATCACAGGCACCTAGTGTTCAGATATCTAAACAGTATAAGTATAAGAAACAGAATCTATAACTAGTGATACAGACAGTACCTCACAGGCACCTATAGCTAGCGTTCAGATATCTAAACATTAAGTATGAAAAACAGAATCTGTAACTAGTGATACAGAACAGTTCATCACAGGCACCTAGTGTTCAGATATCTAAATAGTAAGTATGAGAATTAGAATCTGTAACTAGTGATACAGAACAGCGCATCACAGGCACGTAGCGTTCAGATATCTAAACAGTAAGTATGAGAAATAGAATCTGTAACTAGTGATACAATCATTACATCACAGGCACCTAGTGTTCAGATATCTAAACTGTATGCATGACAAATAGAACCTTTAACTAGTGATACAGGGCAGTACAATATAGGAACTATCATTCAGATATCAAAATGATTGGTTTGAGAAAAATAGAATTTGAAACTTATAATACAGAAAACTATATCACATACTCGTTTACAGCATTCAGATATCTATAACAGTAAGCATGAGAAACAGAATCTGTAACTAGTGATACAGAACAGTACATCACAGGCACCTAGTGTTCAGCTATCTAAACTGTAAGCACGAGAAACAGAATGTACACAGATACAGAAGAGAAGTGTACAACACCTACTATTGAACTATCTAGGCAGCAAATATGTTTATCTGTATGAAATGATACAGGACAGTACTTCACAAACACCTTATAGTGTTCAGATAGCTTAAAGCTGCTACATATGTAGTATAAAAAACAGATTCTGTAAAATAAAAGGCATATATGAGCACAAAATATAGTGTGGTTTGTATAATTTTATCTTTTCAATAGTTCAGCAAATTTCAGCTACTTGTACAGTATAAGGAATAATACATTTTCTTAAAAAAACCTTTCAATGATTTTATGGAGTAATTGAAGATAACAATGTGTTACATAACTGTATTCATACTATCAGTATTTTATATGGCAATATTTCTTCTATTTCAGATTTTCTGCACAGTTTGGCTCAACATCTGTTCAGTTGAATTTCCAAAATGGAGTACAAGACATTGTAGGAGGTATAAAAATCCAGCGAAGGAAAAATGTGATGGATGTACTACAGCCATAGGAAGGTTATGTGTGTGTGTCAGTGGCGGTGCCTTACTAGGGTCTATTCCAAGTGTCTGAAGGAGCCAGATAAGCACCAGGGGAAATAGCGCTGGTGTACTACCAGGCTAAGGGAGCATTAGAATGGTTTGTCGAGGGTGGGAGATTTTGTTGTATATGTGATGACGTTAGAGCTTCTCTACAGTTTTTTGTGAACACAGTTTCATCTTATACCATCGGAAAAAAAGATTACATTTAACATGCTTGTGCAACATGACCAAAATTTCTGTATCTCTTTATAATATTCAGAATAACAATGGAGTAATACAGTCTTCCTTTTGTCAACACCAAGAATGCTGTGGGGAATTTGAGGTGTTTATATTTATTGAAAGAGAATTTTTTGTAGATGATACTTTTTCGAAAGAATAAAGGTATAAGCATGATTTTACAGTATTTCATCAAACATCGGTTGTAGTCAGTTGACATTTTACATTTTAATACACATGCACAGAATGTTACTCTGCATTTATTGAGTTGTAAACCAATAAAAAATCATACATTTGAATTCATAGTTTGCGATATCAGTTTAGGAACAGTTCCATAGACATCATATAAACAACAAAATATATGGCTTATATCGGTGAAATTTTTACACGTGGCGTATGTTTGTGTTGAGTCTGAGTGGTGAATATTATATATACAGATATTGTGATGTCACTAAAGCTTATACATATATAGTGCTATTTATACAACGTTAGAATTGGATCTGTAACAATGTTAACTCATTATATTGCAGTGCTAGATATTTTGTATTAGCCAGAATTTTTGTTTCGATTTTTACCGATATTTTGTTTGTGCATTTATTTACCATCGACCTGAACCAAGTAAAGTTAGAAGACCAATTCCATATCATAATTATTTTATTTTATTTAAACAAAACCAGATAATATGAATTTTTCCAATTTGAAGGAATGTGACTTCTAGTCCAATGATATTCTATCATACATGTAATTTGAATCCTAGTACAATTATATATAGCCTATACTGTAGAATTTACACCAACGGTACCAGCATATTATTAAGTGAAATGAAAAAATGTTATGTTTTTTTCTATATGCAATGTATAGTATTTTTAATTTGTAAACAAAAACCCTTGGATTTTCCAAAATATCACAATATTATTTGAAACCAATTTGTTTTTGTAATGTAAGTTGACCAACTTCACTATTTACACTTATAACAGTAATCAGATCTTCATGAGGATGAATCCAATCGATCATCAAGTGCTATTTATCATTCTATATAGGCAGAACTGTTATCACCTTCACTGGGATATATAACTGTAGTACATTGTAAGGTTTGGTGCATTCTATTTCTCCCTTTGAAGAGTTATGGTGCAGGTTAGATGATTACGAGGTATAACGAGGGCTGGTTTGTATGCATTGTTACTGGTGCCTTATTGGCTGCTGATCTGTTATGCTATATTTAGATCTGTTTGTTTACATGTTTAGACTATATTTAGACATACATGTTCTTTGTTGTTAGTTTTCATTTCATGCATTTGTTTTTATAGCACAGTCATTTCTGCAATGCTATGTGCCTTTGTGGGCTCAATAGAATTTGGCTCAAAAAAGATTTGCCTGATTAAAAGGCAATGCCTTGGAAGATTTTTTGTTTAAAGTAACCAATAACTTTGAATCGTCAACATATTGGCTAGGTCAAAGAATAATTTGCAACCTGTGTTTCATATCATTTGGAATGCCCACATTCAGTCTGATAACTGCAAACATCTACCTTTGTTTTTTTCTCATTTTTTGTATCATGACCAATCAAAATGTATCTTTATACAATTGTATCCCTATACACTGTAGACTAGAGGACCAAATGTTATAGCGCGGCTATATAAACATACATACAGAAGGATGTTTCTGTAAAATCTCATCTCTATTGCAATTGTCTATTTGACCGTAAGCATTACTACATTGATTACTCAAATGTTTGACTAGTAAAATTACTAGTTATGACAAACTTGGCCAACTTTTTTTTATTTCATATCATTAATAACTGTCAGTCATTAAATACACATGTATATTAACATTATTAAATAAAAGATGTGAGACAAATACCTGGGTATGCTAAAGTAAAATATATTTATGAATGATCACTGCGTTTTTCTTTTCCATTTCGCATGGTTTAGTAAGATAGGAGCTCATGACATTTTTCTGTTGATAACATAACCTCCATTGTGTAATTCACGTTCATATCTTTTTAGTGTTCATTTTGAAACAAGACCATGGAATATTAATATGTATATTACAATTTAACTGGCTCATGTCTGAGCACGAAAGTTTGTAATGGTAGAACGGTGAAACACAGTAATACCCTAAAGGTTGTTTTTTTGGACAGTATATGTAAACCAGGTGAGTTATCTCAGAAATCCAAAACATTAGAACCTCAGGTTTTAGTTGCTTATCCATGTATGTTATGACTTAGTTTGTAACTATATGTATAATATTTTTTCACTAAGATATACATGTAATTGATTGAGAAATACAGTGAGATATGTCATGATCAATTAAAGTTAAAATGCAATGGAAATGGAAATTTCTTGGTGAATGGATCAAGAATTGTTTTATCTAAAGAATCAGAAAATGAAAATGTGTAGGCTGTGTTGTCCAGATCAGACATAAAATTTCAAAAATAAAAAAAAAGGATTTTTAATTTCCTTCCTGTTATATGAATGACAATGTGCTATTATATTTCATGTTATATTTAAACATCCGGTAAAGTTGATGTACAGTACTATAGATATATTGTTCAAATGATGTCAGGATAAAATATTTCTTTAAAGAGAATTACATGACAGTAAAACTTTTATTATCACATTATTTGTTATTGCTTTAAATCAAAAACTTTCATATTGTGTTTGTGTAGACTCCCGAAGAGACCATTACAGACTTCCCTGTTATCAAGACTGTTGTCATTGATTTCAACAGCTTGTTTCTGTTGTAGAGAATTGTCTTTGTTGTAAAAACAGAGAACTATCTCTATCTCAGACTGTAAGTCGGGAAACATCTGTTGTATGGTTAGAAAAATATCTCTGATATAGAGAAATATATCTTGTAAAGAAGTATCTCTGCAGTAGAGAAATGTCTCTGGAGTAGATAAATATCTCTGTAGTGGAGAAGTATCTCTGCAGTAGAGAAATATCTCTGTAGTAGAGAAATATCGCCGTAGTAGAGAAATATATCTGAAGCAGAGAAATATCTCTGTAGTAGAGAAATGTCTCTGAAGTAGAGAATTATCTCTGTAGTAGAGAACTATCTCTGCAGTAAAGAAGTTCTCTCTTGTAAGGAGAGTATCTCTGTTAGTAGAGAAATATCTTGAGTAGAGAAATATATGTTTTAGAGAAATGTCTCTGTTTTAGAGAACTTCTCCGTTGCAGAGAAGATATTTCTCTTGTAGAGAACGAACCGTTTCTGTTGTAGCTTAAGTTTTTTCCTCTGTATATTATAAATTTTGTTGTAACTTGTAAATGTTAAGTTTGTAGTATTACTATTATCTGATATGCACATTGTGTTTTTTGTAACCAGGGCTTTCTATCACCTTGTATAATTAGTTGTCCACGTTAGGCCCAGATTCATCAAACACAGGTTAGTTGATCATGAATATCACCACAGACAAGTAACCACAAATATCATTTATATGGGGGTGGGGGGAATCCTTTTTCAAAGGAACTGTCTAACTAATTATATATAATTATCAAGCCGTCAAGCAATTGATCGGTTCTTTTTACTGTAATTCTGAATAAATTAAAGTTGTTTTTCTCTCTCAAAATTCAAGGTGCCACAATAAACAATACAAATAAAGAAGTAATGCTTCGCCAATGTTTTGATGAAAGAAATTTGTAATATTTTAAATACAGTCAAACATTAGTATGTGGGAGTTGTTGGAACCCTAAGAAATGGAGTAATGAAGATTTAGGTAGCCCAGAAACAATAAAGTCATATCAGGCCTGATAAACACAAATAAAGGCACACTTATGTAAGTAATAGAGATATTCGCTTGGCTGAATATCACACATCTTTAATGATGAAACATTAAAACAATCACAAATGTTGGGATGTAACTTGGTGATTGTGATCAGCTTTACCTTGAGTTTAGTGACTGGGCCTGTACATCACTAGGAGTTGAAGCTGTGATGTGTATCAACTGTACATGTTGTGTTGTATAATTTGATATTTTATCCTCTACTTAATGTGTTAGATTGTACATATATCGTGGGAAGCTCATTGATATAAAGTCACTCTTCATAGTTAAATACTACGTTTATATGATTTAGACATAAATTCGATTTTTCATCTGCTCATTTTGCGACAATCTTTATTTACTTATTTCTGATATTCTTTTTCGACTGATTTGCTGAAGCTTGTAGGGAGTCAGAGGTCACAACAGTCTGAATACATTGTCAATCTGTGAGGAACCGTTGGCACTTTCTTTTAACGAGAAAATACTCGTTTACGGAAAGTGCCGCTGGTTCCCGATTGAATAAATTGTATATCAATGTGTAAAGTGCCAATCTAACTCGAGGCATGTATTCTTCATGTAGGCATTAGTGTCTTTTTTCGCTAGTAATGGTTTCAGGATGTGTTTTTGTGTAGAATTCAGGAATACACACACTCTAACTTTAAGCACACTGCATTCCCAGCTAGGGCTATGAATGTGCCCCTCAACCTGCTCCAATCACTAAACTCAGAGAGTTTTTAGAACATGTAGTACTCACACTTTAACCCGAATTCCACTACTCCCCCCCCCCTCCTCCCCCCTATGTAAGAGCTGTTAGAAATATACATATACACACTCTAGACTACTAATCCATACTATATACCCCTCCCTTCTGTCATGTCTGAGGGCTATTAGAAATATACATATACACACTCTAGACTACTAATCCATACTATATACCCCTCCCTTCTGTCATGTCTGAGGGCTATTAGAAATATACATATACACACTCTAGACTACTAATCCATACTATATACCCCTCCCTTCTGTCATGTCTGAGGGCTATTAGAAATATACATATACACACTCTAGACTACTAATCCATACTATATACCCCTCCCTTCTGTCATGTCTGAGGGCTATTAGAAATATACATATACACACTCTAGACTACTAATCCATACTATATACCCCTGCTGCCTTCTGTCATGTCTGAGTAGGGCTATTAGGATTGCATATACTTGAACCCAAACTCTACCTGCACCCCCTTCCCTCAAAACTGAGAGCTTTTAAGAATTTATTTTTGATTGGTCAATGGTGCATGATTTAAAAAATGAATTGCCTTGTTAATTTAATTTTGGAGAACTTTTGTTTCAATCAGGGATTAAAATGTTGATTAAAAACATTGAAATTATCAGGAATTTCCATGATTTACACGTTATGCATTTCTGGAATGAAAGAGAAACATAGTTATTTTGTTTCCTAAATTTTAAAGATTAATGTTTTTTCTTCCACACCGTAGAAGATTGTTATTTCTCCGACACTGTATAGTTGTCGCCTAATTGTTATTAAGATTTTCAATGAGAGCTTTTTTCTACCTAACTTTTACAACTGTATTCCTTATCATTGTCACATAA